AGGGGCAAACCTAGGAACTCTAATTTATGGCATAAATAGACTATCAAACATAACAAAAAAAAGCACAAAACAGCAGAAGATAAACTCAGTGAACGGGACCTCCTGAAATCAAATGCTCATCAAAAGACTTTTCCAAAAGAATAAAAAGAGAACCCACAGACTGGGAAAAAATAATTTCGGCTACAACATATCTGACGAGGTCTAATCTCTAAAATTTATAGAAAACTTCAACAACTCGACAACAAAAAGACAAACACCCCAATTTAAAAATGGGCAAAGGACATGAACAGACACTTCACCAAAGAAGACATCCACACAGCCAACAAATACATGAAGAAATGCTCGCGATCGTTAGTCATTAAGAGTGTTGCAAATTGAAGCTACAATGAGATACCATCTTGAACTGGTAATAATGGCACTGATCAAAAAACAGAAAACAACAAATGCTGGCGAGGCTATGGCAGGAGACTGGAACTCTGATACACTGCTGGTGGGAACGTAAAATGGTATAACCACTGTGGAAAATGATGTGGCGCTTCTTCAAAAAGCTAGAAATAGAAACACCAAATGAGCCAGGAATCCCATTTCCAGGTATACCTCCTAGAGAAATGAGAGCCTGACACGAATAGATACACGCACACCCATGTTCACTGTAGCATTATTTACAATAGCAAAAAGATAGAAACAGCCTAAGTGCCCATCAAATGGATAAACAAACTGTGGCACATACACACAAGGGAATACTATGCATTTAAAGAACAACGATGAATCCATGAAACATCTCACAACATGGATGAGACTGGAGAATATTATGCTGAGTGAAATAAGTCATCCCAAAAGGACAAATATTGTATGAGACCACTATTATAAAAAGTCAAGAAAAGGTTTTCACACAGACAGAAACTTTCTTTGCTGGTTAACAGGGATGAGAAGCGAGGAGAAACCGTAACTAGATAGTAGACGTGTACTAACTTTGGTGAAGGGAGAGATAATACACAATATGGGGGAAGTCAGCACAACATAATCAAGGTAAAGGAAGACACTGAAAGGTACGCAAGAGTAAGAGGAAACAACGATAAATGCTAATACATATACAATCCTGCAACAACAGTAATAACAAACAATAATGTACGAATGGATACATAGGTAGATATTTAAGTTGAACAGGGGTGGGAGGTCATATGAAAGTACACCCCCATATGTATATTTGCGAACACGTTGCAAATACACCCATGCCTGCAATTGCACACAGATGGGACAGTCATGAAAACTTATTGGCCATAATCACACACCTCCTGGCACTTACAGATACTGGGTTTGAGGGCTACGGACCACAGTCTTGGGGGACATCTAGGTCAACTGGCATATCATAATCCATACAGACAATGTTCTAAATCCTACCTTGGTGAATAGCGACTGGGGTCTTGAAAGCTTGTGAGCGGCCATCTGAGATACAACAATTGGTCTCTTCCCAACCGGAGCAAAGAAGAGTGAAGAAAACCAAGAGACTCAAGGAAACATTTAGTCTAAAGAACTAATGGACCACATGAACCACAGCCTCCACTAGCCAGAGACCAAAAGAACTAGATGGTACCCACCTACCACTACCAACCGCTCTGACTGGGACCACAATAATAGGTCACTGTTATGGACTGAATTGTGATCCCCCCCAAATATCCGTCAACTTGGCTAGTCCATGATTCCCAGGATTGTGTGATTGTCTACCATTTTGTCATCTGATGTGATTTTCTTATGTGTTGTAAATCCTATCTCTATGATGTTAATGAGATGGGATTAGTGGCAGTTATGTTAATGAGGCAGAACTCAATCTACAAGATTAGATTGTGTCTTTAGCCAATCTCTTTTGAGATATAAAAGAGAGACAGGGGGACCTCATACCACCAAGAAAGCAGCACTGGGAGTAGAATGCGTCCTTTGGACCTGGGGTTCCTGTGCAGAGAAGCTCCCAGACCAGGGGAAGATTGATGACAAGGACCTTCCTTCAGAGACAACAGAGAGAGAAAGCCTTCCCCTGGAGCTGACACCCTGAATTTAGCCTACTAGACTGTGAGAAAATAAACTTCTGTTTGTTAAAGCCATCCACTTGTGATATTTCTATTAGAGCAGCACTAGATAACCAAGACAGTCACGGACAGAGCAGGAGAGAAATGTAGAACAAAATTCTAACTCATAAGTAAGACCAAGCTTACTGGTCTGTTAGACACTGGTGGAATCCCAAGACTATGGCCCTTAAACACCCTTCAAACTTGGAAATGAAATCACTCCTGGAGATCACATTATAGCCATACAATAGACAGGCCTACAAAATGAACAATAACACCAGTGAGGAATGTACACCTCAGAACAATCAACTATACGAGAACTAAAGGGCAGCATTTGCCCAAAAGGCAAAGTTCAGAAACATGCCAGGAGCAGGAAAGCTGGGAGAATGGACACAGGGAACCCAGGGAGGAAGCGGGGAGAGTGCTGACACATTCAGGGGTTTGGGACCAATGTCACAAAACAAGCTGTGTATAATCTGTTGAATGGGAAACTAATTTGCTCTGTAAACTTTCGACCTAACAACAATAAACGTTCAAACAAATAAATGTTACTAAACAACACTGAATCCTATTGTACGAAAGTTAGCTGCTTATCAGTTCTCTTTCAATTCTTTTGCTTAACGCAGGAGAAAGTTTCAGTCTTATGCGAGTATATCTTTAATATCTTTTACAAAGGCAGAATAAGTCTCAGGCTTAACTGAAGCCTTTGACAAGCAACAGAACCTAGCTAGAGTTTACTTTTCGGTTTGTTTTATCCATTCAATTTTTGAGTAAAATTTTTAGCACATTCGTGTAGTACAAGAATTACAAGGATACATAAGGGCAAAGTCTTCCTCTCTCCCTCCCCTCCGCTACTCAGAGGCAACAAACCTCAGTTTCTTATTATTCATCCAGAGACATATGATGAAAGAGGCTGTTTTCCCTCTTTTACCATAAAAGGTAGCAGCCTGTCTACACCGTTCTGTGTGTTTCTCGCTAGAATTTAACGGAATTGTTTCCAAAATTATATTTATTTTTACATTTATCTTGCATTTATAGTGTGATCCTGGTTTTAATGTAAGGTACTGATACAACATTTCCTTTAAAATGAATTTAAGTAAAAAGGAATAAGCTATCTTAAAGAAACCACTAAGGAAACACTCCACTGTTGGTATCTGGGTACGGCAAAAATCACGATGGTGGTAACAGATGACTGAAGTTTAAGAAATACTGTTTTATAAAAATAGGAGATCTCTTCCCAATATCCCCAACAGGGAGTGACCCAGCTTCTGTTTGAACTATGACAGGCAATTCTCTGGCTCTCAAGTCAGCCCATTTCACTGTTAGGCAGGCAGACAGATTCTTTAGAAGCTTTTTGCACTGAGCCAAAACCCGCCTTCCTGCAATCTCCCCTGGACCTAGTTCTGTCGTTGAAAGCAGTGACTCTCAAATCAGGTTTGCAGAATCTCAGGGCTCCGTGGAAGCACCCCAGCGGGTGGGGGAGGTTGATCACGAAAGGTCCCAGAGGAGCTGAACTTTTATCTGTTTTCTACATTCGTGTTACAAATAACAAGATTTTGTTGAGAAAAGGATTTTGCAAGGGAAAGAGAGAACTGAATATTAGTGTTCCGGAGAAACAATGAATGAATCTATTTTTCATCTTCCATAGACATTAAAGGAAGACCAGCTTTCTGCTCCTTAGACATCACTTCCCTGCAGATATACCACTGACCCTGCACGCAGTACCTGAGATGCCCTTCCTTTCATGTATTTATTTATACCCTGTTCCTTCATTACTATTTGTTTTCTAGTTAAGTGTTTATCGCAAATTTTGAGTTGCTGGAACAACTTGGCTTATTCAAGGCCAAACTGATAGCACCCAGGCATCCACTCTTACGCTGGAAAAGGGAAAAGGAAACCTGTAGACCCAGGGTGGCTCTGGCTCACTCACCTGGTGGCTGGAAGGGGGGACTGGTGCATCTGAGCCCTGCCGCCGGTGGTGCTGAGCCATCCTGGCCATGATCACCGGAGACGTTCGAGGACTATCAAGCCCAGGGTCTGACAGTACCGAGTTCCGATTCATCAATGACTAGAGGAACAGAGAATTCAGTAAGAAGGAAACTCATCCAGAAGCCCATTTGGTGGTGATAACCATACTCATAACATCGGCTAATATAAATTCAGTACTTACCGTGCCAGGCATTATACTAAGCCCTTGATTATATATTATCTCATTTAATTCTCACAATAGAACTCTGAGTGGATACTATAATTCCTCTTACTTTCACAAGAGGAAATTAGGACTTGGAGAGGTTATTAGACTGGCTAAAGGTCAGATAGCCAGCAACGTGGTATTCTCTGGATTCAACCGAGGCAGTCTCAGCCTGCAGTCTCCACTCTGTCACTAAGCTACACTGCTCCCCAGATGTCGAGCCTCAAGGTAATGTATGTCAACGCTACATTATTTAGGACCTTGCCTTCCCTGTCTTGGTGACTTTCCCACATCCTGGCCCTTCCATAGATAGTCAGCATTTTCCCACAAAAAGACGGGAGCAGCAAGGAAGTAAAATTCCAATAGTTAATCTGAAATTTGGTTTTTAACATGCTTTCAACTACTTACTCTCATATTTAATTAATTGGCTAATATTTTGCTAACATCATTAGTACCTCTTCCGCTCATTCTCATTTTTATATCGAGTATGTAAACTTGAGAACACCCAGAAGGAATAACCTTTGAGGCCAAAACCTGAAGTTCTTTGACTGCTTCAGAAAAGATGAGCCGTTCAGGTAGAGAAAGCTCTGTGAGGCAGAGAGAGGGAGACGGCCACTTCCCATCAGGCCAGGTTTACTGTGTTAATCTAAGATGATGTTGTTCCCAGTCAGGAAGAAATGTGCTTTTGGTCGAGTCACTGTTTCTGATGATTTACATCTCTGCACCCTTACACTCAAAGGCTTGTCAGAGTTAACGAGCCCAGTCTCTCTCTCCTGCCTACTCTTTGTATGACAGGAGTGACTAGGATAAAATAGCAGCCAGATGTGATGCTTTTGCACGTAGAATGCATTTGAAACCCCCTCTTTTGGAGCCCACAGCGCCGTGACTAAAATCCTTGGAGGCAGAACTACAGAAGAAGATCACAGGTGACAGGCCAGAAGCCTTGGTGCAGCTGGTGAGCAGCAGAACCGTCAGGTGCCCAGAGGGTGCAGAATGCACACCGTTAAGCAGGCCTGCCCCTGCTGGCACTCACCTCACTGAGGGAAGGAAAGCGTTCTGTCCCAGAGTCCAAGCCACTGTCCCCCTCCTGGGAATCGAGAGAGAGGCGGCCTGAGGAGCAAACAGTGTATATGGTGAGGAAGAGCTGTGTTCCAGGGCAAAGAAGAGGCTTCATTCTGGGAACCTGGGCCCAGGGCAGGAAAGAGAGGGAGGCAGCCACCTTCCTTTCTTTCACCAGTTTCCCTCTTGCTCTCTCATCTCATGACCCCTCAACTCAGACGCCCTCCTGGGCAGACCTATTCTCTACTCCTACCACACCTAGCTGCTGTCTATCTCATCCTGCACACAGGCCAAGTCATCACCTCCTGAAATAAGACACCACAGCTCTGTCTCACAGCCCGTCTTACCCCTCAACTCACTGCCAACTCTCTTCTAGTTCCTGCCCATTTCTGACACCAGGTATTTGTTGCCAGGTGCTGTTAAGCAAGCTGTCCTCTCGACCATAATTATTCTAGTGTCTCCTCGGCATGCATCTATTCAGTGCTACCGGTTAGATGCTCATTTCTACTGCGTTAAAAAAAAAACCAAACCCGTTGCCGTCAAGTCGATTCCGACTCACAGCGACCCTATAGGACAGAGTAGAACTGCCCCGTAGAGTTTCCAAGGAGCGCCTGGTGGATTCGAACTGCTAACCTTTCGGTTAGCAGCCATAGCTCCTACCCACTATGCCACCAGGTTTCCTCTACTGCATGAGTTGTATCCAATTTCCTGTGCATTTGTCCTGTTTTCTCTATTTTCTCCCCTAAGTCTGCCCAGTAGATAAGAAACCCGGACTGAAGATATGCCAGAGAAAAAGGGGGTGATGGGGGACTCACCTTCTGACGATCTCTGGCTGGTGTCACCATACAGTGGAAGTGTGTCCTAAAAAAAAAAGAGAGGCCCAGCGGGTGGGCCAATTGTGTGAACCTCTCCTTCTCCTATCAAAGCTTTCTTGGCTTACAACTAGTGGCCTCTTCTGCTTCATTGGCTTTAACTGCCCAGCTAGAAGAGCTACCACTTCATTTGTATAGTTTGAGGAGGATGGTGATGTCTGAAAAGGGTGGAACGGGAGCTTTACCATTAGCAAAATTCTAAAATGTCATTTTATCACCTGGACCTCAAAGCATCTACTGCTTTAGTCAGGTTAGACATAAGAAAGAACTTTTGTTTTTTATTGTTGTACTTTAATTGAAAGTTTACAATTCAAGTTAGTCTCTCATATACAAATTTATACATACA